TGCTGTCCAGGCCAGCATCTGCTGTCCAGGCCAGCATCTGCTGTCCATCCCCAGTTCCCCTTGAGGTGAACATTTTGGATGGATTTCAGGAGCTGACCAAGAGTGCGGAGTCTCGTGTGGGCCGGACAGGGTAAGGATGGCACATTTCCTCCCCGAGAGGGCATGAACCCAGATGGATGTTTACGATGACCTTTGATAGTTGTCCTGGTCACCATTTGAGGCAAGCTTTCAATTCCAGATTTATTACCTTAAATTATTCCAGCTGCTGGTGGAGTGGGATTCAAACCCATGCCTCCGATGCATTAGCCTGGGCCTCCGCGTTACTAGCCATTACCATTATGCCACCATCTCCCCACAAACCTCAGCCATCCTCTGTGGCAGCAAGTTCCGCACTTTCACCACTCTCTAGGTGAAGAAAAACTCCCCCAAACGGATTTATCAGTTGGCTATCTCCAATCCCCAAGACAGCATCTGCACTAACCAGCCTCCCCTTCATCATTCAACCCCTCAGCCTTTTCCCTTTCCAAGATAGCAGAGCCCTAGTGTGCCAAGTCTCCTCTGTTATAGCAATCATCACAGGTCAGTGAGGACTGTGCAGAGCCAGGAGCCTGCGAGGTGTGGCTTTGAGTGAGCAAGTGGTTGGAAGAGGTACAGATAATGGAACACAAGAATAAGCTCCAGCCAAACAGGCCAGTCTGGTCTCTGCCATCTCTTAAGCCAGCTCACACAAGACAACACAACACAAGAGGTAGCAGTCAATTACCCCCCATCCCCTCCCTCTGATAGTATTCTCATCTCAGCCCCACATGTGGAGGACCACGAACAGTTTCGGTTTCCTTATTTGAACAAGGACCTAGCTGCACAAGGAACAGTTCGGAGAAAGTGAACTTTAACTTAGTCCTTGGACAAAGGAGTTATCTTCTGAAGTAGGGACGAGCAGGTAGGGCATTTTCCCATTGGAGTTTAGAAGAGTGAGAGGTGGCCTTATTGAAGCACAGAAGATCCCAAGGGTGCTGGTTAGGATGGATGCAAGAGGATGTTTCCGCTTGTGGAACAGTCAAGAACTAGAAATCAGAGGATCAAAATTTAATGGTTCCCATTTAGTTCGGAGAGAAGCAATCTTCTTTCTTTGAAAATTATTAGGTCTGTGGATATCTCTTCCCAAGAGAGCAGTGAAGGCTGAGTTTCTGAATTCATTCAGAGCAGAGTTAGACTGATTTGTGATGACAAGGTGTAGAGCTGGATGAACACAGCAGGCCAGGCAGCATCAGAGGAGCAGGAAAGCTGACGTTTCGGGTCTGGACCCTTCTTCAGAAATGGGGGAGGGGAAGGGGGTTCTGAAATAAATAGGGAGAGAGGGGGAGGCGGATAGAAGATGGATAGAGAAGATAGGTGGAGAGGAGACAGACCGGTCAAAGAGGCGGGGATGGAGCCAGTAAAGGTGAGTGTAGGTGGGGAGGTAGGGAGGAGATAGGTCAGTCCAGGGAGGA